TTTTTATTTTTTTTAATAATAAGTAAAATCATTTAAAAATAAGTAAAATCAGTTAAATAAACGCTATAGAATCCGTAAATTTGGTTTTATTCAATCTTTACTTAGATTTTTTGTGAAAAAAGTGACGAGAGACCTTATCGATAAACTATGATAATGTATCATATCGCATCACTATTCTCGAAAATAGAGTTGCATTTACTCCATTTACATTTTTTTGATAAAATTTTATAGTAATTCAAACCTTCTAACGCTGATTTAAAAACTATTATCGGAAAAAAGACAATACAGATTACAACTTACACTTATTTAAAATGTATATTCATAATGTATAGCATACTTACAGCAGTTGCAATTACCCCGGTGTGGAGTAAATGGGACCTTTTGCCTTCTTCTCGCAGAAATGATTTATTTAAGGCTTTTTTATAAACTAATAAACCGAATTATCATATTAGTAGCTTTCAGGAACATATGTTACTAGCTGTTACCCGCGGCTTCACCCGCAAGGTCACTGGGAAATGAACTATCCATTGCTTTTTGAATTGAAAAAAAAAACTGAGTTTTATAGCTTTGTCAGAGATGAAACTGAGCAAAATTGATTCGTCAGCCTATTTAAATGTTTTGAAACGCAGCATATAGGAAAGCATGAAAATAGCCTGTTTATTCCAAATGGAAATGGGATATTTTTTTAATTAAAGGAAACTGAGCATAATTATCCGTCAGGGATGCAGACTTTTTAGTTGAAAGGAAACTGAGTTTAATAGGTCCGTCAGAGGTGCAGAATTTGGAATTGAAAAGAAACTGAGCTAAATAGGAAATTTTGAATTGAAAGGGAAGATCTGTGGGAATTCTGATTAATTGATTGTGGGAATTTTGGAAAAAAAAACTAAAAACTAAACACTATTTTAAGACGCTACTGTACACAATGTTATATGTTTTTCCATTCGGGGAAAGAATGTGGAGATTCTGGGCATTTGACACACGCGAACATGCTACATACAGCTGACCATGAAAGAAGCACGGTTTTTCTAAGTTGACCTCCGCTACCTGTAACGTTTGCCCTTGCGCTTTATTAATTGTCATTGCAAAACTGAGCTTAATAGGGAACTGCAACCTTTTGAATTGAAAAGGAAGATCTGTGGCAATTATAGGAATCCGTGGTATAATAACATTTTCACCTTTTCCTACGCCTGTCAAAATTGTAGCACCGATTATCTTCCGTCCAAGATGTGTCACACGCAGCCTTGTCCCGTTACATAACCGAGGAGCATCTAGATTTCGCATTAGCATGACTGGGACGCCTAATTTTAATTGAAGCTTATGTGAGGGCACACCTGACAACTCTAGAGAATTTAGAAACTCTACGGGATATGAAGTGCTCTGTTCTGTGTCCATAACTGTGTCTACTGACAATTACTCTGTAATTTCTCCTGCTACTTCGCTTAATATATCTGAATTTATTTTGTTAACGCTCTCATTTTTTGGTGCAAGAATCGCCCTTTCACATAACCATTTGTCTTCATGCATGTTGTTCGTTAAATCTGAATAAACGCTCGCAATTAATTCGGAATGACTCTGTACTAAATTACAAAAATCTCTCAATTTAACGCAGCCCTCAGCATCCGTTTCCAACCGCCCATCTCCAATTTTTAATAGTGTGTCAGCATAGTTTCCAGTATTGATATCTTTATACAAATGCACTCTCATATTCGTAGTTAAACTGAATTTTGTCACCTTGTTCCATAAAATAGACGACTTGAAGCATGCTTTAATTTCATCTGCAGGTGTGCCCTTTTGAATGACAGGTAAAGTTTGGCGAAAGTCACCAGCCAGTAAAACCACCATTCCTCCCATTACATCGGTATTGCTGCGCAAATCCTGGAGCGTTCGATTTAGTGCTTCTACAGCTTTTTTATGCGACATTGTACTTTCGTCCCACACTAAAAGTTTGCATTGTCGTAGCATTTACCTCGTGCACTATTTTTGCTAAAGTTGCAGATCGGCAATTCTTCCTGGGGTAGATTTAGAGGGAGTTTTAAAACAGAATGTGCAGTGCGGCCCCCGCTTAGCAGCATGGCGGCTATACCGGAGGAAGCTACGGCCACAGCAATGTTTTTATTTTTCCGTACTTGCGATAATAATAAATTTAACAAAAATGTCTTCCCAGTTCTTCCAGGGGCATCTAAAAAGAAAAGTGCACCATTTCCAGATTCAATTTGTCCTAATACTTTGTCAAAAACTCGTTTTTGTTCGGGAAGCAAGCGGGGTACAAATTCGGCTACTTGCTGCTGCAAAGCTGGTATATCGTAGTTTGTTTCACGTATAATTTCATCACTTAGTTCATTTTCGGTTGTTCGCTGAGGGCTTATCATTCCAAAGTCGCTTAATTTTTTGCCTACCATTGCCATTACTTTATCTTCAATTTTTCCAAGAGCTTCATAAAAAAAGTGTTCATTGTATGTCACGTTCGCGTGTGTCTGCTGTAACCTTCGCATTTTTATGCCCGATGGGTGCACTTTGGTGGTGTGGTGCAGCTTCTTGGTTTGTGATTATCGTTTTCTAAAAGATGCTGAGCTTCACATGCTTCTCTATAAGTTGCGCATTCCTGACCGTTAACAGTTTTAAGGCCTTTATATCCTGTAGGACCCCGAACATGGTGCAGCAGCAATCGTAAACAGAAACATTCAAAATTAGTTACATGGACGGTATACACACGACCAAGGGCATCTGATGACTTTACACCGGGCCAATTTGCAACAGGCGCGCCTTGAATACGGCGTTTCCACTCCTTCCTAGATGTGTTCCAAGTATAATAGCGGGGAACTTCAGAATATAATAACGTTTTTGCAAAGGGATCGGTTTGACAAGGCTGTTAGTGTAGTTTTTGGCGGTGATGCAATTCTTTCTTGGAAATTTCTTTCGGTGAAATATACACGCTCTCCATTTTCTAAGTGCACAGCAAGGTGAGTAACTGTTGGGTGCCTTTCGTGTTAAGGCAGTAAAGGGAAGCCAAGGAGACGCCACGCTGCCTCGTTACTGCTGACATAACGCCCTGCTTGAAAGGTCTGTACTTCATTAACGGGATTTGCCTCACCTTCACACTCCTGAGATTAAAAATTGCTTGGTCGCTTCCTTTATTTATGTACTTACAGATATACTTGATTGCGCTGACAGAGCTACATGCTTCTACATTAATGTGGGCATTAAACATTTTACATAGAATGGGCGAATACGGGACAATCCAGCGGTTATCTAAGGTTTCGAACGCTCCAGAGCGAGATTTGATTGTAACTTTCCTGCCACCATCTTCGGGAGCTCTGTGTCTGTATAAAGGGTAGCCATTTTCATTGTGCACTGTTTCTTTTAATAGCTGTTTAGGGAATTTCTTTGTACATTTTCTTTCTTTCATACGTGGCGATATTGAATTTCGTGCTCCACATGGACCGTGAATCATATTTCGGACGATGGTATCATACAATTCTTTATCTTGCTCAGGATCCGGAATCTCGGCGCTTATTATGTCGTCTATTTGGCTGGGCCGCAACTTCTCTTTAAGCAATATTAGAATGTTGGCATGCGGTAATCCTCTTTTTTGCCATTCAATTGAATACATGCAGCACTGCACCTCTTGTCTCAAATTAAAAAAAGGGAAAGTCTCAAATTTTCCCTTTGTTAATTACATACATTAATTTTTGCACTTTTAATCTAAATACTCTAGCAACTAAATCGTGTCTGTCAGTACTTTTTGGCCCGGCATTAGCTCCTCGGTTATTTCTTTCCATGTGGGATTGCAAGTAAAAGTAACAGAAAGATCAGGTCTTCCGTAAGTTCGTACATAGGCGAATGCGTCTTGTGTGTACTCATGTAGGTAGCGGGGATTGTTAACGAATGATGAGGGCAGAATTACCATTTTACCTAAATCTCTGGGGTTTACATTGGCGTGGTTTTTTTGATTTAAAGATATATAACGGAGACGTTCACTTTATACCTTCACATACATGTCTACCAAAAATTGATGAAATAATTGTCTACACCGGGCTAAGAGGTTAAAATCATTTTCTCGCAACATCATTTGATACACATAAAAATCCACACATGATATTTTTTCGTTCTAAGTAGGCTCCTTTTTGACCGGGTTAATGAGTGGAATTTGAAAATGATGACCCTCTTGTCCTTTGCAATAAATCAATGGGTATCGCAGAGCGTCATAAAACTTGTGTGTATCGGCTACCCGTTGCAACGTATCATCACGTGCTCGCAAGACAATGTCTCGTGAAGAACATTGATCACCACTAATTACGGCTGCTATTTCGTCTATCAAAGGTGCATTGTAGCGCCTTTCATGCTCTCCTCGAGGGATCCGATCTGCGTGAATGACGATTTTATAATCCTCTTCAGGTAGTTTTTCTAAAGCAGTTTTAAATGTTTTGACTAAAATGTTACATTCATGCAAGAATCTTTGAATTTTGAACACTGTGTCTCTCTCAACTCCCTGGATAAATTGGAAGCGACGGTCTACCTCAATTTCTTCGTCACCCTAAAAATATACTTGTAAAAATTTATGCTGTTCGTTTTCAGCTGGAAAAAGTGAACCTATTCTATGATAAATTTGCCCTTGCACCGTAAATGTAGGCGAAAATCCCGGCATTATTATTTTCCGGTCAACTCCGAAGGACGTCATTCGAAAGCATGAGTTATATTTCCGGATCCTCTTTAAAAAGCGCCGTGACTCATTAGCATCATATAAAAAGAGAGTTTTGAAAGGTTCTTCTGGTTCCCCAAGTAACGGAAGAGACACTTTGCAATTGGAACAGCACATGCCTTCGGTCTCATCTTTCCATTTTAAAGCGCTGCAAAATCGATACGCCTTGTCCATCAGTCCGATAACAACTAACCAGTGATTTTTATAATCAATCAACGGGTCCATAATTGAATGCTGCGTCATTAAAAACCGACCAATTGTTTCTTTGAAAATTTTGTCGACGTTCAGATGGAGCTGTGCATCATCTCTGGTCGTTTAGTACTTTATTTGTTTCATCAGGTGTTTCCGCGGCTCTTAAGGCGGCCTGACGTTCCGCTTGTTCGAATAGCCTTAGCTGACTTTGAACAGGTGTTTCAGTAGCTCTTAAAGTAGATTGACGCTCTGCCTGATCAAGACGCCTTTGCTGACTTTGATCAGGTGTTTCAGTAGCTCTGAAAGTAGCTTGACGCTCTGCCTGTTCAAGATGCCTTTGCTGACTTTGAGCAGGTGTTTCAGTAGCTCTTAAAGTAGCTTAACGCTCAGCCTGTTCAAGACACCTTCGCTGACTTTGAGAAGGTGTTTCAGAAGCTCTTAAAGTAGCTTGACGCTCTGCCTGTTCAAGACGCCTTTCTTGACTTTGAGAAGGTGTTTCGGAAGCTCTTAAAGCAGCCTGACGCTCTGTCTGTTCAAGACGCCTTTGCTGACGTTGAGACGGTGTCTCAGATGCTCTAAAAGCAGCCTGACGCTCTGCTTGTTCTTGCCTTCTCAGTTCAGCATCTTCTAAACATTCTAGCGATCGAGCTAATCTTTTCGCTTAAACGATAGCCAAAAAAAATCAAATCAACTTAAACCAAATCACAAAACAAATCGCAGAAAACCGAAATTGAAAGCAATAGTCAATATAAATATAACCAACGAAAAAAGAAGTGTATAGGTACCGTATACACTATCTATACTATTGTTACGAGCTTGAGGTTCGTGACAATAAAAATTGCCGATAAAATCACCTAAATTAACGTTTGAAGAAAATCAGCTGGTGAATTTTATGTTTTTTATCGCTCTCTTCCCGGTCCTGCGTGGAAAAATACAGATCCATACATTTTTTATCTTAATTTTGGTAAAAAAGACATAATAATCCAGATATTCTGACCTTCTGTGTTCGTCTATCGTACCGTCGGTCGTCCGTCTTGTAGAATCACGGTGGCGCCACCTAGTTGAATTTAATTTTGCAACATATTCGATATTCCCACGGGAATGAGATGTTTTTCCGCGGAAAAAAGTGACCTATGTCACTCTACAGCCGCCGAACTATCCCCATACAATAAATCATGCCATGCCAACGCTCTGTTGCGACGTGAAAGAAGGACAAACAAACACACTTTCGCATTTATAATATTAGTATGGATATATGTGTCTACTTTTGCAACATATTCTATTTTTCCACGGGAATGAGGCTGTGGAGTGACATAGGTTACTTTTTTCCGCGAAAAAACATCTCATTCCCGTGGGAAAATAGAATATTTCCCACGGGAACGGGAATGAGATATTTTTTCCGCGGAAAAAAGTAACCTATGTCACTCTACAGCCACCGAACTATCCCCATACAAAAAATCATGCCATGCCGACGCTCTGTTGCGACGTGAAAGAAGGACAAACAAACACACTTTCGCATTTATAATATTAGTATGGATATATGTGTCTATGATACATAGGACACTTAGTAAAAACAATGTTTTTTATTTCAGGCTCATGGGTACATGTATTCGAAGTTTTGTGCTCATATTTTTTAGTTGCATTTGCCTCCCTGCACCTTACTGAATTACTGGCAGTAATGTTAAAACTCTGACAGTACCTAACAGCTAAATTATCCAAAGTTGTTAAATGTGTAAGCCGTGGAATAATTTGGATAACGCATTTTACGTAATAATAATAATCTATACCAAAAGCGACAAACTAGATCGATCAAACATTGCTTTTTTAAACATAAATGACACCACCTCATGTAAATTTAACCGGGGTTGGTGGCTAGTAATATTATAATTGTGAAAGTTTGTTTGTTTGTTACGCTTTCACGTAAAAACTACTGCAGGGATTTAAATAAATTTTAGATCCCGTCATCACCATTTCATCCCGATAAAAGGATCCCATGGGATAAATTTCAAAGGCAAATGAGGTCGCGGGCGGAAGCTGGTGAAAATAAACAATGACTAAGTAGATTACAGTTAATAATAATATTTGGAACTTAAGTAAAACGAAGTAGGTAATTTTATTTTAACAATGATGTTTATGTTCTGGAGGTGTGAGAAATTTTTGTGATTTGTTTCAGGCATTCGAGGTTCGTTGATTAGGGGATAAAAAGTTAAAAGTCGATATTTTTTGTTCAACTAGGATAATATATGTAAAAAAATATATTAGGACGTCGTCGTAATGGAGGCTGAGGGCCTTAGCTTGGGGGCCCCGGGGCACTGCTCCGCCTAGCCCCCAGGTAGCTAGCACAGTACTGGTGATGCTTTATACGCCGGCCGTGCTAATATTTCTCGGGAAAATGTCGCCGAGTAGCGGAAAAAACTTGTGTCTGAAGTCGAGACTTTGTTGAACAAAATCTCGGATTGAGGGCGACCAATTAATGCAGTTCAATCCCCAGAAGACACAAGTTTACGTTTTTACCGCTAAAAAGAACCCCTTTGTCGTATCCCCTCAGTTTCAGAGCACTCCCCTTGTTGCCTTAGCCAGTATCGGAATCCTCGGCGTTGACATATTGAATGTCATGCAGTTTCATGGTCAATTGGAAGAGAAAGCCAAAATGGTCTCTTAAAAGTTTGGCGTGCTCAGCAGAGCGATTTCATGCCGGCCCGCTGCCTACAAATTTATAAGGCGCAGGCTTCCCAGCGCGAGCTCTTTCCATTCGATCGCATCCAATGCAGAGCAGTTCGAATCGCCGCCGACCGTGCTCTTTTTTTATAGGATTGGGTGACCAGCGAGCACACAATCCGCCTGATGGTAAGTGGTCGTTATGGCCCATAAACATTTACATCTATCCTCGATTACGAATCCAAATGCAGATGCGTTATTACCCGTGAGGACTAAGATGGAATGAATAGTTTCTAGTAAAAAGGGTCTCCGGTTCTCTAACATTAAGCTATTTTACGCTGGTATTCTGTGAGAGCGTGGTCCTTCCCCGGTCGAGCCGACCCATTCGTGCTACAACTATACTACTAATATTACTGCAGCATGGCTCTACCACGTATAAAACGTCTTTTATGAATGGCTTGGCTCACTGGCGCTGCGAAGAGATGTTGCGTATTTTATCGCATTTACCATGGGGAGTGCTCTGAGGAATTGTTCGGACTAATTCCAGTCGCATAATTTCACCCTCGCAAATCGCGACAAAACTCGCAATACCATCCATACCATCTGGATTACTGGCTGTCCACTACTGTGCGATTTAAAAGAAGTTTTCTTCCTTGCACAACTTCCTTGTGGAATCGACTACCACCAGCGATATTTCCGGACCGATACGATTTAGGAACCTTCAAGAAAAGAGCCTATTCCTTTTTAAAAAGCCAGCGACGCATCTGCAATTCACCTGGTGTTGCAGTTGCTCATGAGCCGCATGCTTGTTCGTCACTCTCATATAAAAAGAAGTAGGTATGAAACTCAAGGATGTAATCAAACAAAAGAAAATTGGCTTAATTGTCATCTTATTTGGATAAATCTGACGTTTTACAGTCAACACAAAAAGCAAATGGTAACACAAGCTTTTTTTGCCATGCAGACGGGAGACGGTAAAATAAAATACGAATTCATAAAAATGTAGTTTATATTATAAATGTAGCTCATAACTATGCATTAACATTTTGATTAGTGAGCTGATTAGTTTATTTTTTATTTAATATGTTATATTACGCTTTTTATTAATTTTTTATTAATGCAATTCTAAATATAAAAATAGGAACTGTTTCATGGCATACGACACGAAGCTGTAAAAAAGTGTAATGCGTAGTTGCCATTGCTAATCGCTGATTTATTTTCAGCGAGTGTGGCTAGGTATAGTGTGAGTAGGTTTTTCCAAAAAGTAAAACCTCTATTTTTTTGGTATTATTTTAAACTTCTTTTAAATGCCAAATAAACCTTTAAAACTAGTTTTAGTTGTTTTTATTTGCTAAAAATATCGAGCTAATTTTAGGGTTAACAGTGTCAATATATATATATATATATATATATATATATATATATATATATATATATATATATATATATATATTTTACCACGTGCTCGGCGGTGAAGGAAACATCGTGAGGAAACCTGCATGTCTGAGGAATAAGAAAAAAAATATTTCGAAGACATGTGAAGTTCGCCAACACGCATTGGGGCAGCGCGGCGGACACTTCCTTGCCCTAAAACCCCCACAGAAATGAGAGGAGGCCTGTGCCCAGCAGTGGGACGTATATAGGCGTAACTTTACTATATATATGCAGCTAATGATGGTAAAAGGGGAGGGGGCTTTTAATGTAACTAATTAAGGGTTTTTATAGTTTTTCCTTTGAATTTGTGATATTCATTAGTCGATTCAAATGGTTAAAAAAATTAAAACTAATTAAAATTGAAAATCAGCTACAATAACTAAAATATATGTGTGTATATGTATATATATCTTACATATATATTTATATTTCCTACATCTACATTTCCCCTTGATATTTAATGGAAAAATTCATAATGTAAATTTCTATTTTATGAATTTTTCCGTTAATCCTACAAAGGACAGTAAAATTAATGTTAAATAGAAACCAAATGCATCAGAGTAATTGTTTATTTTCTGCAGTTAATAATTAAGTACATTTAATACTATTTGATTTAGAAGCAATGGATACTGGTGGGGTTTTGTACAATAGTATTTAAAATGTATGAAAATATGATGCGAATATAATTGCGTGGAAAAATATAAAATTTGTTTAAAATTTAATTACAAAAACATTATTCTTATTGCAATGTGTTTACCTAGTCGGCCCTTAAATACTGTCACTGGTATGTAAATAATAATTAAAAAAAATCAATTATTAAAAAATTTTATATAATTTGGTTAGGGGTGTCGTTCTATGGTCCTACTAAAGTACACTTATGCGAAAAAGGTGTCAAAACTAGTGTCAGAGTGTCTCAAAACTGTTTTGGATGGTATAAGAAAGATTCTGCACCTGCTCACAAGGCCAAAACCACTCCTGCTTGGTTTGAGCGCCAAACTATCGACCTCATCAAGCAAGAAGATTGGCTCTCCTCCAGCCTTAAACCCTAAACCTCTGGATTAAAAGATATATCTAACTTTAGAGAAGAAGGTGTTTTCTAAACCTCATAAAAACTTGGGAAAGAGACTAAGAGTGTATTAAAAAAAAATGTATGGGCACATTCCAAATAAATACTATAATATCTAAATTTAATACTCTTTTAATAAACAAAATCTTTTTTTGAAGTAAGTTTTACTTTTGATTTTATAACCATTTGTACTTGTGACAGTATTGAAGGACCGGCTAGGTATATAATACAAAATATGGTATTATATGACTAAAAATAATGTTAATAAATATTTTAGACACGAACAGCTATTATATTAATAATAGATTTCAGATAGACTAATTGAAGTGGTGTTTGTGTGACAGTCAAATTAAGTAAAGTAGTAAAATTTTAATATTAATACGTTTGTTTTAAGAATCAAGTATATTGGGACTGGTCTTTTTCCCGCGAAAAGGTGACGAGTGTGCTGCATTTTTAGCGTTATACCACGAGGAGTACAGCTAAACACTTTTTAGTTTATTTTTATATCTGTTAATATTGTTAATACGTTATATTAATATTTAAATCAATAAACAATATGTAGTCTTAAAAATTAAAATCCAATCAAGTGCATATCTGTAATATATCTACAGCAAAATTCTTTTTCCAGTCTTTATAGTTAAATTTTCTAAATTTTCTGCTTCATACTACAAAGTTGTTTTGTATAGACACAAAGTACACACAATAAATATACCAACAGATGTATTATTTGGATATTTGATGGGATAGAGGGATACTTTAAAAAAAATAATTACGTAAGTACCCACATATTTTTGCTTTTAACTTAAAAATATTGTTCAGTGTATGCTTCTGAACAAACAGTAACATTTAAAAAAAGTTCAGCTATGAATTTGGTAGCCATTTATGTAAAGATAATATGGGCGATTCTAGTATAGATATGTGTTTACAAGCCGTACCTTTTTTATCTCTCCATAGTATAAAACAAATTTGCTTCCCGCCGTCTGTACGCTTAGATATTTGAAACTACGCAACAGATTTTGATGCAGTTTTCATCAATAGACAGAGTTTGATTCAAGAGGAAGGTTTATTTATATGTATAAAACATGCATATGTTGTCGAGATCCAAAAATCACCAGTACGAAGCCGGGGCCTAGTACAGCCGTTTTTACTTAAGTTTGAATTGTGGTTTTTTTTATAGTTATGGGAATTTTTTAACAATTTCTTTAAATTTGACTGAGTATATGATATGACCTAAATACATAACAATAAAATGCTCTGAACATATTCCTTAAAACCGGCGTAATATGTACAAATAAATCGGTAAACGATAATTAGATATGACAAATGAATACTAATATAGTATTATTTAGAACAAGGCTTTACATAAAATGTTATCTATAACGTTAGTGAATTTATGTGTTATATTGTATTAATATAAGACTTTAAATTACATTAATTAATTCATACAATTCTATGGGATGTTTAATGAAAAGTGACGTAATTCAAAATGATCTTTGTTTACACTGCGAATATAATACAGACATGTAAAAAATAATTTCATTATTAAAATTCACATAGTAGCGGATAAAATGACTGATTTTTTAGAATTCAAACGTAAAATTATAGATGTAGCTTCAAACAAAATCATACAATTACATAATAATAAAAAAAAATTCAGTCGAGTCCTTGTTGCATGAGTGTGTGGAGATCACGGAATGCGGCGCCAAGGCGTCCTTGAAGCGTTTGTCTCTTGAGTAGGAAAGCGCGTACTTCTAGCAGCAATCTATGTATTTGGACACACTTTGTATATCGTTCCTCTCTCGGAATATCAACCCCTAGAGTGCGAACTGGAGCACTGACATTGGCTCGAACCACCGAAGAGAAATTACGTACTATCAATCTCAAAGCGTTACAACCGCATTGCATATACCTGTAAGGATATTAAAAATGTGTAATTATATTTTTATGAAAAAAAAATCAATATTCATTACCTGTTTTTTATAAAACAATCATATTAATTTTAGTGCGACGGTTACTCCATCTATAACTAGTTCCCTTATCGTCTCTAGGGACGTCGCGGGGTCCGACGAGGTGAAAAAATTCAAATTATATTACGTTTGTTGTTTCTTCACTTTTGAAACCGTACTTGCATGTTCGTATTAAAAATATACATGAGAAAAAGCATTTGACTATAATTTAGTTGGTGAGAAATTTTATATTTTATTATTATGCGGAAAAATATTTAAATTTGCCTAAAAGAAATTGGTGCGGCCCCCACTAGATGAAGTGACGACCTGTTAAGATCGTCGATGGATACTGGTGGCTTAGTACCATGTTTGTGGCATTCCTTGGAGGGCTGTAATGACAATAGTGATGAAATTCGTCGAAACTCAGAAATAAATAACGCGTTCCTGCATATTTTAAGACCTGAAAGATCTTGTGCACTTGCCCTCGTAATGTAGCGCTCTGCTCATCTAATTATTAAGGAAATGATTTGAACAGTGTACATTGAGTTTTTGGCTGCAATAGGTGGCTGATCAGAACTCCTAGATGGATTTTTACGTATGCCTTAGTAAATAAGCTGTGAATGAAATCATTTTGGAAAGTTATGAAAATAAAAGCCGTATTACAAATCTTATCTATGACCAATATATGTACAGGAAGTAGTACTTAATTTAATAAGAAAATAACTGTATAACAATAAATGCTATTTTGGTGAAATTATTTTCTTATCCTTATTGTAAATTGTACTTACGATTCATATTTGCTTTGTAATAAGTCATATATTTTAGGCAGCATCAATAGACATATGTCAAGATTCCACAAGGACCTGTAAATAAAGGGCTTGTATGACAAACATACACAAATATATAGCAAGTCATATAAAACAGGTACAATGTTGAATGCTTACGGTTTATGTGCCATAACATTGAGAATGTCTAGTATAACGGACGTGTCTTCAAGTGCTATGACAGATTCTAATGCAGATTTTAGACTTTTATTAACCCTTACTGAATGAAATATCTGTGAAAGAAAAATAATTTAAAATAGTAAACAACTATGGTATCATATACTATACAAGAAAATTTTCGTGCGAGGTGAGTCTGCACCATGACGCCGAGCACCTCCTGCTTGCTGCGAGCAGTGAGTGCGAGCTGTGCGTACCTGCAATGCGCGCTGTCGTGTGGTGAGCACGGCCATCATGGAGTCGTGTCCGCGCATCATGACGCCGAGCACCTCCTGATCGCTCCGAGCATGGCCATCATGGAGACGTGTCCGCGCATCATGACGCCGAGCACCTCCTGATCGCTCCGAACTCGGCCATCATGGAGTCGTGTCCGCGCATCATGACGCCGAGCACCTCCTGATCTCTCCGAGCACGGCCATCATGGAGTCGTGTCCTCGCATCATGACGCCGAGCACCTCCTGCTCGCTGCGAGCAGTGAGTGCGAGTTGTGCGTACCTGCAGTGCGCGCTGTCGTGTGGTGAGCACGGCCATCATGGAGTCGTGTCCGCGCATCATGACGCCGAGCACCTCCTGCTCGCTGCGAGCAGTGAGTGCGAGCTGTGCGTACCTGCAGTGCGCGCTGTCGTGTGGTGAGCACGGCCATCATGGAGTCGTGTCCGCGCATCATGACGCCGAGCACCTCCTTATCGCTCCGAGCACGGCCATCATGGAGTCGTGTCCGCGCATCATGACGCCGAGCACATCCTGCTCGCTGCGAGCAGTGAGTGCGAGCTGTGCGTACCTGCAGTGCGCGCTGTCGTGCGGTGAGCACGGCCATCATGGAGTCGTGTCCGCGCATCATGACGCCGAGCACCTCCTGCTCGCTGCGAGCAGTGAGTGCGAGCTGTGCGTACCTGCAGTGCGCGCTGTCGTACGGTGAGCATGGCTATCATGGAGTCGTGTCCGCGCATCATGACGCCCAGCACCTCCTGCTCGCTGCGAGCAGTGAGTGCGAGCTGTGCGTACCTGCAGTGCGCGCTGTCGTGCGGTGAGCACGGCCATCATGGAGTCGTGTCCGCGCATCATGACACCGAGCACCTCCTGCTCGCTGGGCTCGGCGCCACCGCCGCGCGCTCCTCCGCGTCCCATACTCGCCGCCAGGCCGCGCTGATAGTTATTATTACATTAAGCTAGGAAACTTAGCGAGTAGTGCCAGCGTAAGACAATTTATAATCTCATTTCGTCCCGTGGTAGTCATAAGCGGTAATTCTATGATGGCATAACTAATGTCTTGGTTGGTAATGGTCTTTACTCGTGTGACTGCCTTTGTGAACAGTTATGTACAACTTTTTGCGATAATTAGTCTATAATGTGCATGCTATAATCACCCTAGTTGCAATAACGATTACCGCTAAAACTGTGTGCGTAAAGTGCAGTGCAATTTTTTTTGCCACTGTTTCGATTTCGTTCTCGCTCCGCTGCTCGTGGTCACAACTGAGGGGCGCCTCCGCCCGCGTGAAGAGTCTGACTGCTATTTTTCGTCCCGTCCCTACTCATCGTGTAACTTGTTGTGTCGTCGTAAACAATGAACAACTCGCAACGCGCATCTCCGATCAAAGTCTCCTCGAACCCCGATTTATCTAATATGTCGGTAGATATGGAATGTTACGTTAACTCGCGTAAAAGGAAACAAATGGAATGCGAACATCATGGAATGTTTGCAAATTGAGCAAAGGATGGAACAGAAAATGAAACTTTTGAATGACAGCATAACTAACTGTATTACAACCGCCGTCAACTCTGCAATTACCGAACAACTATCACACGTTACTTCGAACTTGTGTGAAATAAATTTAACCTTACAAAAATTTACTGAGGATAACTCTAAAATTAATAAATCACTCTCTGAAACCAGTGCACGTTTATCCGAAATGGAAATATCTCATACAAAGGCTGGATTTATTTTAGAGTCGATTGCAAGCATATGAGAGTGTCACTTCTCAATCTACAGAACTGTCCACACAAGTTCGTTCCCTGGAGATCAAAATGGACGAAGTTGAACAACAAGCTAGATTGAACAACCTAGAGATTACTGGAATCCCTGATAAAACACGAGAGGATTTGTTATTGCATTTTCATAAAATAACTAATTTCCTGGGAATCGAAATATCAGCAAATGACGTAATTCACATAACGAGGATTCGTCCGTTTAAGGTGGTTCCCGGTCGTCCCAAGGCAATCGTAATGAAGCTGAGTTCCCGTTTGCTGCACGATTCAATCCTTGCTGCGGTGCATGCTAAAAAAGGACTTAGACTTTGTGACATCGGCTTTCCTGACCGTCTAACAAACTACTTCTTAAAAATACTAAATTAAAAATGAAGTCTGCCCTATACCAATATTTGTGGGTTCGTGATGGTAAAATCTTCGTCAGGAAAAATGATACCACTGACTCTTTACGTATTAACCTTTTGAGCGCCACGCCAAAAACTCACTACCGTGTCCTGTACGCCAAAGCGAAAAGTAAACAAAAATACCTACGAAAAAAACAGTGCTGCCAAGAGTTGATATATCGATAACACAAAATAACTTGTTTTTGTTGGTTTTTTATACAATAAATGAGTCTTTATAATCGGGTATGTTTTATTTAATCTTGTGCTGTCTTCCACTCTTTTTATATATGTACTTTGTACATAAATAAAAAACAAACAATAACAATAAAATAGTAGTAAACCACAACACTACTCTCCGTCGTGATGACGTCACTGTCACGACTGGACGACAACGGCGTAGCTGACCTTTCTTTTTGAAACTTTCTTAGAGATGTAGCCGTGTCGCACGTTGTGTATCGATTTCAAAATCGATGTAACCAAAATATACAGACATCTATTCAAAATATTTTATGGCAAGGCGTAGGCCAAGTGAATCAATGAAAAAGTCTTACGCTCTTATGATAAAGGGGGGTTTCATATGATACTGATGTTGCTAAATGATTTTGAGATTGAGAAAGAAAATCGCACAACACAAAATGAAAATTGCTCTTCATACCTTAAGTAAAGAAAACACATTTATTATTTGTAATTTTATATTATTAAAATAGAAAAGGTACGTAATTATTCACTAATCAACAACTGTATATAGGTAATTATTCGCACTAGAAAAATCAGTCTTATAATATTAAAATCTTGGTCATGGAATAAAAAAATCAGTACTTATTACAGAAATCAACAAAGGGTACATAATTATTCAACAATTGTAAATAATTATTTGCACTAGGTCTAGTCATAAAATATTAAAATCTTGGTCTTTAACTCAATCAGTACTTAATATAGAAAACAACAATTAAAAATAATTAATAAATTATAGGTAATATTAGTCTTAAAATAATAAAAATCTTATGGAATAATAAAACATAAATGTTTAGCTGGCCAAAGCAAATTTTCTAACGCGGTAGAGCCATGCTGCAGTTATATTACGGGAGTTAGTAGTTGTAGCACGAATGGGTCGGCTCAACCGGGGAAGAACCACGCTCTCACGGAATATCGGCATCAAATAGTAGCTTAATGCTGCTGTGTTTCGTATGGTAAGTGTAGAGAACCGGAGACCCTCTTTACTGGAAACGAGGCATTCCATCTAAGTCCTCACGGGTGAGAGCGCATCTGCATTTTGATTCGTAATCGAGGATAGATGTAAATGTCTATGGGCCACAGCAACCACTTGCCATCAGGTGGACTGTGTGCTCGTTTATTACCCTATGCTATAAAAAAAGAAATTAACCGTAAAAAGACTATAAAGTGTATTCCTACCTCATTGAGGTAGAGTTAATCGAAAACGAAAAACTTTGGTTTCACGATAATTTTAAATTTCCGAAAATTCATCATCGTCGACGCTTTCCAAAATCCGAATGAGTTCTGAGGAATCGTTCATGTTGCACTGCACTAATTTTCCCGCTAATCGCTTATGACGTCATCAGTGTGTCGTCTATACTTGACCACGGCGCCCAGTGAACTGATTTTCGATGTCGCGCTAAGGATGCGCCAAAGTTGAGATATTAGATTTATTATGCGAAGATAATTTGTTATTTTTTTTTAATTCATGTAGCTAATTATAGTTTTATATTTCTAACCTTTTGTTTTATTTAAATATCAATAATAATAGAAAAAAATAACACGTTTGAGCTTAATTTTGAATAGTTTTCAATAAATTTATGGCTAACGCATTACAACACTAGCGGTCTAACATAGACGACTTTGGCGTGCTGGACATAGTATTTGCTTAGATAAAAATCCATTTTTTTTTAGTTCAATGTTTCTTAGTACTTGTGGCTCTAGAAGACTTGTTTTTTATACTCACATGTTGCTGGGTTATTCTTTTTTGAGGGGTGTAGAATTAAAATACCAGTAATAATTTTCCAATGTCTATATTTCATATTTTTGTGGGCCGGGTTTTTTGTCATCTATAGACGTCGTTGGCGCTCAGGGCACGCGGGTGCTGGTCACGTATAGACGACTTTGGCGCTCAAAAGGTTAAAGACAGCTCGGATATTTTAAAAATTGTTTGACTATTTGTAAGTTTTAATCTAATCGTAATTTGCATCTACCAGTACTTATATATGAAATGTAAACACACTGTGTTGTGCACAAAGTTAGGCTATATTTATCTACGTAAGCATTATTATTTAATTGTTATCAATAATATCAATATCCAAGATTATATGTTTATTTATACGTATTATTGTATAAAGTATTTTTTCATTTAATTATGTAAAGCCCATAAAACATTTATATAAAACATGCCTCATAACTTTATTGTGTGTATTGTTACCTACATATAGGTGTATACAAAACATATTTTGTAAAACTTTTTTAACTATTATAATTTACCGCATCGTAGAAATCATATCGTCACTGCCGTCATATGTGTCGACCGTATCCATCAGTATCCATCCGTATCCACGATTTGGCCGTCTCTAAGGTAATACACTACTATAATTGTTATGAGGCTGTTACTTACTTATATGCTGTAAGCAAAAACGTACTCTTAGGTTTACTTTCACTGCTCACTATTTTTATTTATTGTTTGCACCGTGCTGGTTGTACGAGAAGTTATTAAAAAAAACTTTACAGATTCATATTCATTCCTTAATGGTGTCTATAGATAGGAAATTAAATATATTTTATCAGAACATACGTGGTCTCCGTACCAAATGCCTTGACTTAGTTTAGTTTAGTTTACGACGGGCTGTTTTCCGCAACTCCACGTCTAAGCGCGTATTTTGCATGTGGGCGGGAATAATATGCTTATTCGAGCCATGATATCTCCCCGAAGAAGCTCAGTAGTCCCTTGATGTTGCAAGCAACTTCGGGGAGCGATCCCGGCGTGGCGAGATGTTTAGCCCTGTATGAAGCGACTTCTGGACATGTCAGCAACACATGAGCCGCCGTTTCTTCCTCTCCCATGCATGCCCTGCACCGGGGACTATCAGTAACACCTATGGTGAACAAATGTTTGTTAAAAGAGCCATGTCCTGTGATAGCACTTGTTACTATCCTGATCTGTGGCTTGTTCAGTCTCATTAGAACCTTGGTTAGACGACTGTTTATTTCAGGTAGGGCCTTCCTAGCTTGTCTACAGTCTACTAAATTTTTCCAAAGCTGAGCGTGTAAATTATTGAAGTATCTACGTACCAGTGAACGAACGTAGCCAAAGGGGATTGGTATTATTGGTTCCGGCCCTATAGTTGCTAGGGCCGATCCCCTTCTGGCCAGTTCATCTGCTGCATTGTTGCCTCTAGGTCCACTGTGTCCCTTGATCGATTGCAGAGTCACATTGTTGTGCTTACATACCTCATTCAATCGTTGATGGCACTCGTATATCAGTCCCGAGTTCGTCACATTGCAACTCAGAGCTTGTAGTACCGCCATACTGTCGGTCAGTATTCTGATGGAGAAGTCTTTCACCTTCCTAGCATCTATTGCTTATGGCCGCTTGGATGATACCCATGCATTCAGCCTGGAAGACTGTGCTGTGGGTACCCAGCGTTGTGCTTATGTGGATATTAAGGTCTTCAGAGAAAGCCCCAGACCCCACACCTTCATTTGTCTTAGAGCCATCCGTGAAAACTTTGAGCTCTCTTTGACCCAATCCTTCCAGATGATCAGTTTCCTTCAATTGTATTCTGTACTTCTTATCGAATACAAATTTTTTTGGGATCCTATCATACTTGGCTTGCCAGATAGGAATTTTTGAGTAAATTCTACTACTACTAATTTTTGAGTAGACTCTACTCTTACTTAAAAGATTTAGGACCTTGAATCTAATGGCAGCTAAAGTTGCTTCTTGTTGTATATGTAGATGAAGCGGTGTTAGCTCCAGCATAGCCTCCAAAGCTGCTGTTGGTATTGTATTGTTATGAGGCTGTTACTTACTTATGCTGTAAGCAAAAACGTACTCTTAGGGTTACTTTCACTGCTCACTATCTTCATTTATTGTTTGCACCATGCTGGTTGTACGAAAAGTTATTAAAAAAACTTTATAGATTCATATTCATTCCTTAATGGTGTCTATAGATAGGAAATTAAGTATATTTTATCAGAATGTACGTGGTCTCCGTACCAAATGCCTTGACTTATATAATAATATACTATCGTGTAACTATAATGTTATACTCCTCACTGAAACTTAGTTGCAAGATGATATATTTGATAACGAATTATATGATGGGAGGTTTTATGTATTCCGATGTGACAGGGACTTGGTGGCTACAAATAAGAGTTCAGGTGGAGGCGTAATGATTTGTACCCGTCGTGAACTAGTTGCGACTAAGCGTGTGGATTGGAGTTGTAAATATATTGAATCTATATGTGTCAGCTTGCCAGCCCGATCTCTCAGCTCAAAACTTAAATATTATACTAGTTTACATACCACCAGATGAAGATAAATTAGCTGAGTATATTAATGAATTTAGAATCAGTTTTGAGCGTTTTTATCAAACGTCACGATTTGGTCGATAAACTTTCGAATAGAGCGTCCCTTGCAGACTCTGCCACAGTTACTCTTACCTCTGTTCACCTCTTAAACTCTAAGTATGTTACTCTCTTCTTTTTCAGTAACATAGTTCTTAACTACCGCATTTCTAGAGCATTAATTTTACTCATATACCATAAATACAACTGAAAAAGTTTATATCAGAGTATTGAAAACAATTCTTAATCCAAATGTTACTTACAGGTAAAAATTCTTCTAAATCTAGTCCAACAGGTCTATCTGTGGCATAAGGAATAAACTCCGGTTCAGGTTCCCTTTCCGGATCTTCAACGTTGCATGATATTGATACGTTTTCACGGCTAACGCTATCAATTCTTCGCCTAGAAAATTAGCATACTGTTAAAGCACATTCATCAGAAGCCCACTGGTGAATATAGATCTCTCTCATACGAGGGCGACACTGAAAGTTTTTAGAACTGGCCATTTGTAAACGATATAATAAAAAAAATAAGTTCAAATTTTGAAAATGGAACTCTTTGTCAATATTATTGTGTATGTATTTTATTAATTTGTCATTAGTTTACGATTTGGTGGCAAATTGAAAATTGTCTGTGTCACGTCTGCTTGAATTTACCGCGAGAAAATTTTCGTACAATGATTTTTTAAGATTTTCTATGTCATTTAAAACGACAAGAAAGTTATGATAGACTTCGATTGGCATTTCACGATGAAGCCCCATCTCGTGCCACTGTTTACAACTGGTTTAATGAGTTTAAACGTGGTCGCACAAATCTTACCGATGATCTGCGTGTGGTACGGCTTTCTACGGCGACGACTGCAGATAAAATTTGTGTTGTGCGGCGTGAATATGATAGAGACTCATCAAAGAGTGACTTATCAGCAGATTCGGACAAGGTTAGGCATCGGTATGAGTCAAGTGCACAAAATCCTCCATGAATATTTAGCGGTCAGGAAGCTTTGTGCCCGGTCTCATAATTTGACAAGAGGACCAAACACTCCGTCTTGTTGATTATTGTCGTGAAATGGTTCAAAGATTTAACGGAGCTGACTCAAATGCTGTGTTCGACATACTTACGGGTGACGAAAGCTGGATTTATTATTATTATCCTGAAACTAAGACACAGTCTGCTGTCTGGATGTTTCCTTCCGAGGAGTTGCCAACTAAAGTGAAGAGAGGTCGAAGCGTAGGAAAAAAGATGATGGCCTCGTACTTCGGAAGGACAGGTCACGCAACAATTGATTTAGAGGATCGTAAAACAGTTACTGCAGAGTGGTACACTAACAATTGTTTGCCACTTGTCTTGGAAAAAGTTCGGGAGAAACAACCTTGCAGTAGAATCCTCCTTCACCATGACAACGCCTCGTCGCACACCGCCAAGCAAACAATCGAATACTTGGCGGCGTCAGACGTGGAATTACTGGTTCAGCCGCCATATAGCCCTGACCTCGAACCTTGCTATTTTTATTTACTTCCTAAAATAAAAGAAAAACTTCGAGGATAACGATTTATGGACGCCGAGGAAGCATTGGCTGCGTTTCAATATGCCGTCGAAGAGACTCCTAAGGACGAGTGTGCAAAGTGCTTTTCTCAGTGGTTGATCCGATGCAGCAATGTATTGATGTAAATGGACACTAATTTGAAAAGATATAATAAAATAATATTATAACTTGATAGTTTGTACAGTTTTTGATTTTCTAAGAAATTTCAGTGTCACCCTCGTAGAATGCCTTATAGAGGGAACATTGACCAGTGTTGCCACACTCGGCAGGCGATTGAGCAACCGCAGTTTTTTTTTATTTTTTACCACATTTTTATTAAATCGCCTTCTTGTTCGCACGGTACAATCATCAAATCAATCAATCGATTTGCAATTGATATTAAACTAGTTTCCCGAAGTTAGAAACTAGAAACTTTAAAAACAGCTTAAAACTGGATGACAATGCAATATAAAATTACTGCCCTGTCCGTCTGCTTGGTTTGTTTGATTGTTTGTTGACGTGTTTGTTTGTTCCGTACAAATATTTCAATCGATTTTAAACTAACTTCTCAATGAGGTAGAGACTTTAAACAGAGCTCAGAACTGGAAATGTGATAAAAAATGGTCGCCATTTATAAATTATAATGAAATATTTTATTTTTATTAGGAAGAAGCCGCTGCCAATCTCCTATCACGGGATGATACGGAGTGGTATTGGGTATTCTTACACCGTCACGTACGCCGCGAAAAAGAACTCATCACCCCCATTTAATGCAGTAGGTGTTGCAAGAAGCGGAAAACACATCAACAACGTATCGTAAAAAGCCTGACATTTTTAATTTTCTAGATGTTGGTGAAGAAAGTTTTAAAGACTAGAACATTCAACAGCATCTATGCACTGCCAATGTATTGATGAATGTCTTCCGTTGAGTAGTCTATTTATTTTTACTTGTTGTTTTAAATTTATCTTAATATTAGGAATTACTCCTTTATAGTACCCATAGTCGCAGTATTTTACGTATGACTGCTTTGTGCGGACAGAGAACGCAGCCAGCAGTGCCGTAGCCAAACACTTAGGTACTGTGCTAATATAAATGTATAACATATATCAGTCTCAGCTTTTAAAAAAATGACGAAGCAAAAAAATATTAAAAATAGGAACAACAGACACTCCATTTATAACAACGCTACGCTATTATAACAAAGTCCCAGAAAATATACAAGATCTCTCTATTACCAAGTTTAAATATTTAATTAAACAAAAACTGTAGAAAAAGGGTTATTATGATATAAATGAATACATGGTTGATAATAACCCCTGGGCATGAGGTGGTCGCTTCCAAGCTGTTTCTAAAACAAATTTTGAAAATATTTTGTGAACTTTGACATTGTAAAATTTATTTTTAAAAAAAATCCCGCTGGATTTCATGCTAGTTCTTCCCAGGACAAAGGTTTTTTTTTTCAAACCAGTGGTAACGTATAATATTGACTTTCAATAAGAATCACCTGTAATCTACAATGAATAAAAAATTATTCTATTCTATTCTATTCTAACAAATATTAAGTACCTTGTATTTTGACTCTGGGTTCTACTGAATGATAATGATCTAGGTCCCAATGATGGAGGGCCCAATGATACCTCGCTGTTACTTTGTCGCAGATTGTTTCCACCTAAAATAAAAGATAACACTACATCAATAAAAATAGAATGTTTTCAATTTGGTATTATTGATTAGTCGACTTCAAAATAGACAACAATTTACTAGACAATATTTGACTTTGAGCTCGTGATATAATATAAGACCACTGAAAAAGGTCAAACAATACTTAAAATATTTTTTTCTATAGAAAGAGGTTTCAAACGCATGTGAACTATGCGGTATTTTTAACAAATAGTTGCAAAAGTAAAAAAAAGTAACTAGCTAATTTGTTAAGGTAGAAATTTTGCATTGCATTCCATAACAAATATAAAAATGTGTAATTTAAAACTTACACATCTCAGTAGTTGTTTTCGATTCTTTGTAAGAATTATGTCGGTTTAATGTACACGCTGTTAGGGAATTGGTAGCAAAATCATTTATTGCGGTGGGTTTCGTAGTAGTGTAAGTATTGGCATCTTTACTGTTATCCATCATCCCTGTTAAACAAACAACATGTCAACTGATATTAATGACAGCGACAGAATAAAAGAAAGAAATAAAAAATACACAACTAAAATTGCTCCATTTCCCTCAACAACTAAAAACTGTATTTTATTTTTATTAATGATTTTTTATGTTTACGCGAATACTACACATTTCAATAAAGGATTATATCGCGCATATTAACTGATTTTATATTCCCGACGTTTCGAGCACTTTACAGCACCCATGGTCACACAATAGGGGACTGAGGTTTTCGACGTCCCAATGTCATAGTAAACCACGGTTACCTCCAGATTAAGTTTTGTTCCGATCTACGCAGTATGAATTTATAGTATATTGAAGTCTTGCAGTTGTATGCTTAGGTTTAGATTTCACGTCATAGTGGAAGAGTGAAGCCGGTCACAGTCAAGGGTATGCCTGCTGTACTGCGTCAGAGGTGCACTGACAAGATTGGCTACATCTTAGGGCGTACTTCAAGCCGCCGAAGAAGATTAGTCAATTTTTACTATCAGTCAAGTGTAATGTCCCTCTGCAAGATGCAGGAGTGTACAAGCTTGATTGTGAATGTGGTCTCTCTTACATAAGACAAACAAAACGATCAATAAAAACCCGCGTTAAAGAACACATAGCTGATGTGAAGAATCAACGCTCCGGGAAGTTTGCAGTCTGTGAACATGTACAAGATCACCCCTGTCACTACATCCCGCAAGGCTATTGAAATCAAAAAACATCCTAATTTCAATAGAGAAGATGGCTGGGGATCCTATAATAAATAAAATTAAATCCCAACCCAAGCATACAACTGCAAGATTTCAAGGTACTATAAGTACATACAGCGTAGATTAGAACAAAAATTAATAATTTTAATATGGAGGTAGCCATGGTTAACTATGACATTGGGACATCGAACATCTCAGTCTCCCCCGTGACCATGGGTGCTGTAAAGTGCTCAAAAAATACAAAATAAGTTAATATATAAAATAAGTTAATAAGTTAATACATAGTAAAAACTAGTTTTATTTAAATTAATTTTTATTTCCACATTACTTTAAAATAATTCTATAGAAATGTTCATTATTATAAACATCATCGGAATATACTTTCTAACAAAAATATTTTTCAGTGAAAATGTAAAACGACAACAAAACATAACTATACTTATTATTGATGTGCCTTAATACCGTCAGGATGTGAAAAAAGAAACACATTCGAAAACTTATAGAAACTCCTTGCTAGTTAATGATGAGAATCCAAACCACTTTTTAAAAGAAAATCTTAGCAACTATCATAAAAAGGAACTTATCAACTGACGTAATTTTATTATTTTTAACATTCCACAAGAGTTCCTCACTAAATATTATGTTAAAAACCTTTCCAGCGTTTCTAACTTTCATGCTTCGAACATTAACAAAACAGATGTAACAACAGTTTGTAGAATATGCATATTACTTGAGAACACCTCGGATTTCTTGTCTAACACGGGGTAGTGTTCTTTGGGCGTGGGTATGCGCGAGTAGTGGTCGGCGCGGTGACGCTGCGGCGGAGAGGGCTGCGGGGGCGGCCGCGGCGGCGGCGGACTGGACTCCTCAAGCATCAAGTCACGCAGAGACGTACTCACTGTTGCCTCTAATTTACGCGAAGGCTCTGCAACTGAAAAAAAAAACATTCTCACACATTTATAACAAAATATGATGAAGGTGGTCTTAGGTCGATTTTCGACTACATTTGCTGATGTGTTTTGTATGTTGAGTGTAGATAACCGAAGATCATTTTACTAGACACAAGACATTCCATCTTAGTCCTCAGGGGCGACAACGCAACTGCATTTTGCCCCTGGGCCACATCACACACACAGCATCCACTTAAAATCAGGGGGACTATGCGCTCGTTTGTCATCTTTATTCTATAAAAAACATACAACGACAACTTTGAATTAATCGAAAGCTATCTACAGAGTGCCATGGTAATGTAAAACACGGTTATCAGTCTAATGCATGTATCGGCTTTCTGCATTTCTTAACATATCATCACTCCATCCATTGGAGAGCTGTCCTACAATACGCTCACCAGTACAAGTCTGCCATTCGAGAACCCTTCTCTTCGTCGGTTGTCTGTTCTTCAAGCTATATGGCAGGCCCAATGCTATTTCAGCTTACTGATCCGATTGGCTATAACAGTTACCAGTTAGTTCTACCATAGGCATTCTCAATTCGAAGTCTATCATGCAGAGTATCTTTAAGCATAGCCCTCTCTGTAGCTCGCTGAGCGACCATAAACTTCTTCATACGTATGTCGATTCCACGCTCGCCCCCATCTTTCGCGGCCGAAATTCAGTTGGCAAGGAAGCTGGTGTTTCAGTTTATCCTGGCCTAATGGCCTCCGCATATCGAGCTCGCGTATCGGAGGCGTTGTGCTGATGAAGTTAGCGGCCGTTGTGGAAGGCTCGATTTATGGTCTGGCACGTCTTACTTGAGTAAGAGAAAGGGGAGGAGTTATTCTCTCCTGGCCGGCGTTAGTACGGCCGCATATGTGTGCAAAAGCGGCAAAGAAGCATCTTGAGGTTTTAGTCGGTGCGGATCTGACTTCTCTTTGCTCCCGCGAGGCGACAATGCGCAGGCATATTTCCCATTAAGGTAGGCAGGTAGAGGTTGACAAGTATGTTAACAACTTGTGCCAGGGACGTTACTATTGTCCTGAATATGGACTTCTGTCTTCTTAATCTGTCAAGTCCTGCCGATCCACATGTGGATTACCCGCGATAAATTTGTAGACCTATAAAGAGTATAGTAATATTTAGAAGAGACCCTCAGAGTACATTATTACATTTCTCAAAACTAAAGATAGTCAAGTCCTGCCGATCCACATGTGGATTACCCGCGATAAATTTGTAGACCTATAAAGAGTATAGTAATATTTAGAAGGGACCCTCAGAGTACATTATTACATTTCTCAAAACTAAAGATAAGAATGCTAAGAACAATTATTTTTTTAAATGTTTTATATAAGTATTATCGAAGCTAGTTGGAGACTGCATGAACCTTTTAAACGCCCTGGGATGTAACAACAAGGGTCGTTTTAAGATGAGTTCCGGGTCACGAGGGTATTGTAGGCAACGAATTTGCCGACAAACTTGCACGGGAGGGCTCAAAGTGAATAAAATTTAGACCTGAGCCATTTTGTGGAATCTCAAGAAGCCTAGCCCGATTGACCCTTAAAACTCTTTATCACAATAAATCTCTTAAGATCTGGTCTGACACACCAGGCTTAAAAGATTCTAAAACCTTAATCCGGGCTTTTGATCGTAAATTCGCTTCAGAAGCCCTGGGATTAAGTAAAAATAAATTGCGCATTCTGGCAAGAGCCCTAACTGGACACTGTTGTCTTAAAAAGCACGTGTCCATCCTGGGACTAAGCAACTCAAGGATGTGTCGGTTCTGTTCCATAACGGAAGAAACGCCTCTACACATCCTAACTGATTGCGGACCTTTAATGCGCCAACATAACACTCATCTGGGAAACTATCTACTCCGCCCAGAAGAAGTGAAATTGCTCACGGCTAAGCAACTCCTTCTATTCATTGAAGACATAGGGCTTAGCAGTGAACTATAGCCACAGCTGCGATCACAATAGATCTTTTAGGTCACAGAGATACTGGTCTCTTTCCCTAGACCTGCATAGCTGCTCGCACATAATAAAAAAAGTATTATACAACTGAAATTCCAAAAATGTTATTACATAATTTAGTAACGAGACTATCGTTACAAAATTATGTTTCTTTAAATTAAGAGAATTTACTTCAAAGAAGGAGTTTCCATTTTCGTCTACGAGTTGGGTTTATTTCATACTTCAGTCTATGTCCTTCGCAGCTTAAGTGCAGGAGGCAACAACTAATCAAAAAAGAGGGTACAAAAGAAAGTTTGTAGTTTTTTTATCTAAAAAGTATGTGTACACTATTTTTAAAAGTTATTTGCTTATATTTTGTCTCGTAACAATTTCATACACTTAGTTCACGTATGAAATAAAGTAGTCGGAAGTAACTTAAAATGAAATATAAAATGTGAGTTAACCCTATAAATCATGTAAAAACACAAAAGGGGATGCCCATTTTCGGCCATGGAACACCCAACAATATGCATTTGTTAAAAAAAATATATCTTTATTTATGGTTATTAATCGCGGTATTCATTTATCCTAAAAAGATGGGAATATTTTTGCACAAAAAAGGTACTGAAATGATAAAAATAAAATTAGGTAAATGCGTAATTCATAGTTTGTGGATAAAATAAAAAATGTTGCCAGTCACAAATCTTATTAAAATCGATTCCCTTTTTTAATCGATTATTTATGGTGTCATTATTACAATGCTAATATAACTTTTCGATAATTATTACGATGTTATGATATAGGTGTAAAGCAACCACGGACCACACAACCACAACAACGGATATTTATCTAAAGCAGCCGATACGCAACCGTAGTCAACCAGTTGTTTATCCAACTATAGACGAAAAAGGATGGTTATGTTTTTACTGTGTGTGCGGGTGGTTAAGCTGAATCGCTTTTTGCAATGGTGCTTAAAAACTACTTGACCCATTTAAAAAATTCTTTCATCATTCGAATTCTATTATGACTGTGAAACGTACGATGCATTTTATGATAGAGGACGCTACTTTCAACGAATATATTTATTTAGCTAAACTCGTAAAATACTTTCACCGCTATAATGTTATGTATAATTGTAGATATCTAATGTAGGATGCATTTTATTATAGAGGGCGCTACTTTCTGTGAATATGTTTTTATTAGCTAATCTCGAAAAATACTTGACCGATTTTGAAAATTCTTTCATCATTACATTGCTAATGTAATGACATTGCTAATAAGGGTTAGTTGTGTGATAAAATTATTTTATTAAAATAATTATTTGTGATATTAATACTTTCTCAATAAATAAAAGTAAATACCTACCTAAGATGATCAAATCCTATTATTATTTTTACAATTTAACAATCATATTTACACACTTTACCTACTTAGGTTGATTGTTTTAGATATCTTATTTTAGATTTATTTATTACCTATAAATAAATCTAAAATAAGAGAGCTCCACTTAAACGAAAAAATAATTAATAAAATATAACTAAAAGTTGGAAAAAGTGGCCCAATGTGAATCGGCCTCGCAAGCCAATGAAGAGTTCCGTAGTAACAAGCATAGATTCTACATCGAGTTAAAATACCACTATCATTATCGCCAGCAAAAAGTTACTTTGTTTTTCCTAGTGTTTGTATAAAGGACAAAATTGTAATTGCGGTTCTTGAAAATAAGCTACTTGTAGCTCAAAAAGGACTAATCTACATTATAGGGATTTCTTTAAAAGCTACTGCACAATTAACTGTTCTTAAAAATACATTTTAAATAGAATTTAAATAAATAAAGGAAAATACATTTTAAAAAGCGAGCAGAACTTAAAACGCCTCGAAGATTATTCTCTTTTTATGAAATCATTAATCGAATAATAATCGAATCGCTATCGATATTATGATGTTATGATAATTAAACAAGCGAATCACTAGCTGATTTACTGTGAATTCTTTAGAGTATAACAAAATGCTACTGCACAATTTAACTGTTATTGTTATCTGTTTTAACAATACATTTAAAATGGGATCATGTTATGATAATTAAACAAGTGAATTTTTAGCTGATTTACCATGACCTGTTTAGAGCATAACAATACGCTACTCCACATTTTAACTGTTCTTAAGAATACGTTTAAAAAAATTTAAATAAATGAAATAAAATATATTTTAAAAAGCGCGTAGAACTTAAAGCGTCCCAAATATTATTATTTTTTTTATTAAATTACTAATCGAATAAAAATCGATATCGTTTCATTGTATTTATGTTAGTTATGTGGCAGCATCAAAACATCAAATCTAAAAGCTAGTAAAAATGTCAGCAAATTGCGAATCACAATTCAACAAGTAAAAAGGTGCTGGAGAATTCACAACTAAATAGTCACAATTGTGTTATTTTGTTTGTTATTTTTCAAATAAATTCTCAAGAACTCATATGGAGTGAGATTACCGATCACATTATAGTGTGACAACAATTAAAAGTAAGTGTTCAACAGTTTTTAATTTATTAATTCTAGTGCTGATATTTGATAGTGATGAATGAATGAATTGATGAAGTTGTTTTATTTTTTAACATATGCACAAGCTATATCTGACAAACTTGACAATTTTTATCAAATACCAAGAAATGAGACAGTCGATTTTTAATTGTTTTTGGACTACTGGTAGTCAGTCAGTCCTTAATTATTAAATAACAATAATATAGGGCATTAAGTTTTAAGTAACATTTACCTATATTTGAGTTTAAAGTAAACAAATCTATTTTATTTTGTTCTCTTTGTCTTATTTTTTTATTTAATATTATTTCAGTTGCCATCGTCATTGCGTGTGTGTCATAATTGCTGGCGAAGGACTGATAAAGCAGCATCATGTTAAACTACAGAACGGGAACCATCTGAATCATCTAGTCCGTCCTCGTTGCAATCTGAAGCGAGTAATGTATTGCACCCAGAACAACAAAGCTTAGATCATACATCATACAATATACTGCTGCCTAATTATGTAAGAGCACCACTCACATAAAATCAATTTTTTTTCTTGGTTGTAACAATTTCAATCAACTCACTGTTCCATCAGCATTGCGGGTATGTCTTTTTATGAATACAATTACTATGTACCTCCAGAATGTAGAATCAGTAACTACCATTTAAATAGTAACTCTTGGGATTTACTCTTAGAATCAATATATAACCATATTAAACATTTAGTGTAGCACAAATTATTGATTTTGCTACATTATTGTAAGATAATATATACCATCATATAGACTCTGAAAATATTCACAGTATGCCTGAACATACTGTACATTATTATCTAGGCTTATCAAAGGCACAATACCAACAAATTCTCTCTGAGGTTCCCAAAATGTAAAGTAAACATAGTGGTTGTTTTGCACTTGCTGTATATTTGATGAAAGTAAGAACAGGAGATAGTGACGAATACATATAGGCATCATTGTAAGTGCCAAGAAACAAATTAGAGCGGCTCATGAATATGACCCGTGAAATATTAAATCAGGATGTTGTTCCTATGAATTTTATACATCGTTATCACTCTTTGTGCCAAATTCCATTCAGTAATTATGATATTATATTAGAGGCAAATAATTCCTTAGCTTTCCTAGATGTTTTTGTCATCCAAAATCCTAACAACATCATAGGTCACACTGTGTATAGAAAAAAGACCCATACAAATTTATATTTAAATGTTGAATCTCACCATCATACTTCACAGGTAGTTACCGTGAGCAAATCTTTGTTACAGAGAACATATTGGATCTGTGACAGCAAGCACCTGGCCGCGGAGCTTTAGCATGTCAAGCAGGTTCTGCACAACATCAAGCTTCGGGTCCCGCGTCTACGTCACAGTGACAAAGTGAAGCCAACCGCAGTCGAGCGTGTGCCCGCTCTGTACTACCGTATGTCAATGATGTCACAGACAAGATTGGCTACATATTAAACGAGCTTTTATTAGAACATTCTACAAGCTGCTGAAGAATATTGGTCAGTTTTCAAAATCCATCAAGTGTCATATTCCTTTACAAGATGCAGGAGTGTACAAGCTTAATTGTGAATGATGATATGTGAGGCTATTGAAATTAAAAAAACATCCTAATTTCAATAGGGAAGGAGGCTGGGTACTACCACCTGCTTGGGACGCTATAACTAATAAAATTAAAACTAAACCCAAGCATACCACTGCAAGACTTAAATACAGAGTAAGTTCAATCTGCGTAGATTGGACTATGAAAATAATAATAAAAAGGTGAAGGTACTCCATGTTACTACTGACGAATGATGATATGTGAGGCTATTGAAATTAAAAAAAACATCCTAATTTCAATAGGGAAGGAGGCTGGGTACTACCACCTGCTTAGGACGCTATAATTAATAAAATTAAAACTAAACCCAAGCATACCACTGCAAGACTTAAATACAGAGTAAGTTCAATCTGCGTAGATTGGACTCTAAAAATAATAATAAAAATCTGAAGGTACTCCATGTTAATACTGACATTGGGATGGCAGTCACCTCAGTCCCCACCGTGACCATGAGTGCTATAAAGCACCTGAAACGTCGGGAATTAAAAGTTAAAGAAATTAAAAGCAATAAAATTGGTAAAAGTAGTTGTTAAAAAACTGTATTTCTGAAAATAAAAACTTTTATATCATAAAAATCCCGACTTTTTTAAACCAATTCCTTAACCATTTCATTATTTTAATTGCATATTATCATTTCCATATGTTTTTATATGTGCCGAAGTCCAATGTGCGAAAATTACGTTTTATGTTATAATTTCGATATATTGTGAATATTATGGCGAAGTTGTTTACAACTAAAATGGCGTTGGTCAAAGATAGCGTAGTAGAGTATACGTATAACTGAATATTTTATTTTATTTTATGAGTACATCGATATAATTATATTATATATTTCATTTCTTTATGAAATTTTGAATGTTTCTGTGTCCTTGTTTCTTTCTTCATAGTAGTAATTATATTTTAACATATAGATATTGGATTATAACATATTCGTTACATAGATTTGCCTTAGTTGCAGAAGTGACATATATTTGAATATTTTTCTTTTCAGTAAACTTTTTTGGTTTTGTTATTTATTACTGTTTATATATATTGAAATTCTTTATGGAACATTTGTTTAATAAATTTTTTGATGTTGATGTTTTTTTATAGGATAGGATGACAAACGAGCACACAATCCACCTGATGGTAAGTGGTTGCTGTGGCCCATAGACATCTACATCTACCCTCGATTACGACTCAAAATGGAGACGCGTTGTCACCCGTGAGGCCTAAGATGGAATGCCTCGTTTCCAGTAAAAAGGGTCTCCGGTTCTCTACACTCACCATACGAAACACAGCAGCGTTAAGCTACTATTTTACGCTGGTATTCTGTGAGAGCGTGGTCCTTCCCCGGTTGAGCCGCCCCATTCGTGCTACAACTATACTACTAATGTAACTGCAGCAAGGCTCTACCACGCATATAACTTTTTGACTTTTTTTGTACACTTAAAATTCTTTATCAAATAATAAAATTGCTACCTCTCTCCAATTAAGTTCCAAATAACGTCGTTCCTTCGCGCCCCCACCGTACTTTTTTCTCCGTTACTCCTGTCACTGATGTACCAAACAAAAGGAACTACGCCGTGTATGGAGTACTGGGACTGTACACCAACTGTTCGACTAGGTTAGGTGAAATTTGTGTATTTCAAAAATAATAATTAGAATGGTACTTATAACATAGCCACGTTCGTAGCTTAATCAAGGAAGCTAATAAAAATTCGACTACTGAAATAGACCATAGGTTTAAGTTGGTTCAATACACTGTTGGGGCCTGAGAGGACCTTTTCGTTGAGAGACGCTATTGAGCATAATGTTAAGATTCAGATAATTGAATTATTAAGCATAGTGTTAAGGTCCTCCAGCAATTCTGCCATAATGACTTCAATTTGTATGTGTAACTATACTTTGAATTTGTATTTGTACTCTCACTGACGTAATGTTCTCTGGTTCTGTACTCGGATAGCCATTGTTGCATTGTTTTTTGTTATACCCGTAAACGAAAATCAGCAGCATTAAGCTGCTGTTTTACGCTGGTGTTCTGTAAGAACGTGGTCCCTTCCTTGTTCAGTAAAACCTTTCGTGCTACTACCCTAATATAATTGCAGCATAGCTCTACTGAGAGCCATGGTGGCTAAGATGGTAGCGCTCGCTGTAAATTTCACAGTACGCGAGCAACCCTGGTTCGATCCCCGCCGATAGCAATGAAATTGTTTATTGCAATTTTAAGTACTGAATTGCTGAATTACCACGTGCTTTTGCGGTAAAGGAAAACATCGTGAGGAAACCTGCATGTCCGAGGAATAAGAAAAAAATATTTCTAAGACATGTGAAGTTCGCCAATACGCATTGGGGCAGCGCGGCGGATATTTCCCTACCCTAAAACCCTGTCAGTATTGAGAGGAGGCCTATGCACAGCAGTAGAACGTAACTACATAGGCTATAACTTTAAGTTTCAACTTTTATAGCTCAACTACGTAAAAACGAATGAGAAGATTTGTAATGACTCTCGAAAAGAGCACGCACACGCTGCTCATAAAGGAAATCGGTCGGTTGTTGTTCCATAAAGAACATTGTCGCCTTTCTTGACGAACACGACAATCGTGCTTCTGCTTCAACCCTCTGGAGTAGTGTCATCATAGGGGGGAATTCAATAGCTTCTGAAGGACTTTAAATACCTGTAAGAGTAAGAACTATTGAAAAAGCAAGAACTACTCACCTGGTTCTGAATAATCATCAGATGACAAGCTGGTTGCGGGTGGCGGCGTGCGTGTTACTGAAAATGAAAATAAAATAATTACGACCTTTAACAAATTTTTATTTCATAAGATTAAATTATAAAAACAAGACTTAGACATTGAGCTAAGTTTTTTCACAAAAAAAAAAAGATTCAAGACATTTTAACTATATTTCCAATAGTTTTGGATTTCAACATACTGTCCCAGGTAGGAAACACTAGTGTTAAAAAGAAAAATTACGATTAAAATGATTTATTTACGTTTCATTTAAATAAAGTTACAGCCTATATATGTCCCATTGCTGGGCAATAGACATGTGTAAATCGTGAATGATTTCTTCATTTGACCCGGGTCACATCGAAGTATTGATGAGTGTAATTACATTTTTTGTATGGAGGTTAGAGGTAAGGAGGACTTACCATAAGGGGGACCATATGAAAAATTGTCCAGCTGTAAGCTGTAAATAACAGTTCAAAAACCTTCTAGAATGGCGCTAGCGTAGATACAGGATATAGTATAAATTTAGCAGTTGTAAATGGATTGAAGTGTGCAGATTTAAAAAATGAAATATTTTTAAAATACTAATTATTTTTTATATCACTATCGTAAAACGAATTATATCATTATTAGAATTTTTGAATGATCGGGTCACTAGAAATGAATGAATGTATACTGGACACAGCCCTTCTCTGATTTCTAAGAGGGTTATGAAGCAATTAGAGCGTCACGCTGCTCCAGTTACCGTGTGATGGCGGCGTAAGAGAAAAGAGAATCCACCACACCATGTCCTCCCGTGAGGGTAGTATAAGAGACGGTAATGGGAACACGTGACAGATACGTGAGAGTTAACCTCTCAGTCCTCAAGTGGTCGAATCCGACCGCGCACACCCACAGCACTTTAAGCCATTAAAACTTATATTTAGAGACTACTTTTTTATGAAGAAGTTTGGCATTATAGAATCAATATGAAATTTTCTATCCTCTAGTGCAATAAAAAGTCAAGTTATCCACTGGACATTTATTTCTAATCTACGTTCATTTCGTACGCCATTTTCACGTGAATGTTATTGTATTGATTTTTGGATTTTTCTAGTGTTTTAGTATAGTGTTTTATTATAAAATTGAAATGAAAGTTTTTGTGTGAATATAATTTACCTTTTTACGTAAATAATATCGAGTAATATAATATATTGAAGTAATTGTGATTTTCACGGTGCCGACATTCGCTTGGTATGTTTTGTTTTTGTTATCAAAATATAACAGCCTTTTTAATAAAGTAAAACCTGACTTTTATATAGAGAATTTTGTATAGATTTCATAATGCCAAACTTCTTCATAGAAAAGTAGTCTTAAGTAGACTTAAAGTAGTTTTAATGGATTTAAGTGCTGCGGGTGGGTGAGGTCGCATGCGACCGCTCGAGATTTGCCGGGCGCCAGTTACTGCATGGGCTTTTTATAGGGATTGAGGGGTTAATATTAAGTTTAATCACAATATAAAATATGTATATAATACAAAATATGTATCTAAATATTATATATCTTAATATATAAAAAATATCATAAATATAATATACCTTAAGCATATTAATAAAAATGTGTAACATATGCATATTATATTTATTTTATATGTATTTGTATGTCATTTAAGAGTTTACGTAAGAAAAACCTCAAATAAATCATGTATTATGGAAAAAATACTAAATTAGATTATGTTTCAAAATAAATGTATGAATGAATCTACTTACACGCTCTGGATGGCCGAAAAATTTCAGTATAGTCATTAAAATTTGATATAACAGCACCTGAGTCCTCATCAGCTTCAGTGCCTGATGCTGATTCTTCAGCAGTTTTCTCATCAAGCAGTGTTGGCCTGTGCATTGCTGAAAATGATAAATATGAAAAATGCTCATTATGAAATGAACTTATGAAAGATTTTAGGCCAAACGACGAGGTAAAAGTGCTGTAAGATATGTAAAAAAACTGTTCGATCCGTGAGGGTGCTTTTACGTATCGTGATTATGTTTATATAATCCTTTTCGAGGAATAAATAAAAAAATACCTAGCAAGAAGTAAAACAAAATTTAATTAAATGGGGAAACTTTCATGGCAAGAGATAGATTTAAAAAAAAACTGTATTTTAAGAAAATTGTGGTAAATACATGTTACACATTCAAAATAACAATGAACAGGGTGTTTTTTTACATGTCACAATAAAGATGAGTTATAAAATGTACCTTCTTTAGGTGGCTTTTCTTTTGAGAAACTTTTACGCACTGTATGTCCTTTTTGAAATGGTGACAAATCTCTGACTACAGTCGGTGCAACAGGAGGTGGACCACCAAATGGATGTACTTTGTTCAAATCCACAACTGATAAAACAACATATGTTGAGTGGAATGATCCTGCTATCTGAGGAATTAAAGCAAAATTTCAGACGCAACAAAATTAAATTTAGTTGTAAATAACGTAAGGCAATATACATATATTTATTTTTGCAATCTTACAAGTTGTGTTTGAGCAACAGTCATGTCATGAATTTGACCCCAATGTCCAGATACTGTATCTAATACTCGTGCAGGTTCCCAGCCAACAACATGCAAGCCGTCATTACCACAACCTAATAAAGTGGTTCCATCATCACTAAATGTCATATGCCTGTAAAAACATAAAACAATTTTTTTTTAATGCAATATAAAAATAACTTCATAACGACTGATTATACATATATCTCTTACCTTATGGATGTATTGTCTTTTTCAAATTTTGAGACTAACTGGAATTTCTCCATATCCCAAAAGTTAACAGTCTTATCACTACCGCAACTTGCAAGCAAAAATTCATGAGGATGAAATTTGACACATGTTACAGCTGATGTGTGTTCTATAAATTCTTGTAACACTTTGCCTACACGCACATCCCACACTTTTACTAGCCCTAAAACAAATTTCAAGTTAATGTTCTCTCTTTAAATGTAAATGAAATAATTTTACATCATCTAGAATCAATTAGGCACCTCGCCCTGTAAACTGTGATTTGAAAAGTATAGTTTGCAAAACAAATAAATTTGCGTACATAACTTTGTTCTACAATATTTATCTAGGTCATAAAATGTAGACACTCAGTGTCAGCAAAGTATGGAATAAAAAAGAGCGAAGCCAATCTGTACATTTAATATACAGTTGCAAACTAAGCTTACAGCCGGTTACATACGTATTATTTCTATTTTTTATAGCCACTTTCGAACCCCACATAACTCGTAAAAAGTAGATTCTAATAAAATATTATATTTTAATTATGCATAACATGTCTCCATGCTTAGCCTCCAAGCCCGTATATTTACGCAAACAATTACAATATACAGGAGGCATTCAAAAAAATTGAGAATGCAGTACATTCTTAGCAGTTAAAAAAGTAAAACCTAATAAAAAGCTAAAAAGAATATCTGTAAGAAAACCAAAAAAAATATATTATTTTTTATTTAAAAAAAATAGTAGTTTGCGGTTTGTTGTAAAAACCCTGAACAAAATGTCTATGACTTTAAAAAGATCATCTCCTCTAACTCAGAAAATATACAAGGAGAGTCCTACCAAAGGTAAGATATAGACCCTTTTTTCTAGAATAGTCAGATGTAGTAACGAATGAATATCTCGATCATGGAGCTATTGTTATGGGCACTTTGTATGCAGAACAGTCAAAAAATTGCGATTGAAATCACAAGGAACAGCGCTAATTCGCAAAGATGTTTCATCAAGATAATGGTACGTCTCACAAGTTTTCCATTACGATGGCTGCAATTCGAGATGCTAGCCTTGAAATACTAGATTACCCACCATAGAACCGAAATTTAAAGATGATGAAGCAGTAGTCGCCACACTACAGGGATCTTTATATCTTTTAGATTGTTATGTAGCATAAGCCATTATCTAATGCTAGAACTGTAAAATAATAACAAAAAGAAGAAAGAGTTATAAAGTATTTCTTTCATCTTAAACAAGTGTTCAATTCAATGTGTTGTGTGGGTAATCATTATTAGTCACACTCACATAACATGGCTGGGTTCATGACACAATTCAATAAACAACTGAATTTGTGTGACTTATTTGTGTACTTTTGTTGAGAATAAACAATGCTGCCATGATTTGTGTGTGCTAACAATGCCACTCCCCGAGAATTAGACCAACAATCACTAAGTGACATGACCCTATCTGGACAAAAGTCTCATCAACCATGCTTATCAGACTGTCACACTTACAAGGCTCGATCACTTTCGTCCTGCCTCACTGTGCCACGTCACTATAATGCAGCTGCGCTACTAAACATATAAATACCAATTTCGGAAGATGATGGTATGGTCATTTTGTATGTCAGATTCGAAATACTCAAGCCAAGGTCAAGAAGCAGCATCTTTGCTGCAAAAACATCGAGGCTGTGATTGTGCCAAAGATGTGCCATCTGCGAAAGATGGCGTATACAGCAAATCTTCTCGGCTAAAAAAGAGGCCAATGACCAGCAAAGTACTTTGTGTGGGCCGAGGAGAAAGAAACAATAAAAGCCATGACAGTAATAAATATCTCATAATGTATGGTTGTAGTAGTTAAAATAAAGGCTCTTTTATTTTAATTTTTCAAATATTATTAAATGATGTTAAACGTCAGAGAGTACTTGGCTATACACCAAGGGTCTTGGGGTTGAATTCCAGCAAGACCGAATATTTGTACAAAAAGCAAATGTTTGATTGCCACATTTGTCGGGTTGTAATTGTTCCATGCTTTTACACTACATTGTAGCATACCTCTTATTGCATAAGCATTATAAAGAATGAAACTACTTTCTACCGATTTTATTGCATATAATTAACTTATTTTATATTCCCCAATTTTCAAATACTTTACAGCACCCATGGTCTTAGTTTAGTTTAGTTAAGCAAGCTACTTCGGGGGGAGCGATCGCGGTATGCCGAGATGTTTAGCCCTGTATGCAAGCACCCATGGTCACTAGGGGACGAAACGTCGATAATATGAGTTAATTAAATGCGATATAATCTGTAAAATTTGTTAATTTCATTCTATGTGTATTGTTCACGTCAATATAAGAAAGCATTATAAAGGTTAAGGATGCACATAACTGCACACAAAATAATATATACTAGTGTACCTGTGTTTGCACATACACTTGTGGCACAATAATATGTCCTGTAAAGTTGATAGCTTCAGAAAGTATTCTAAACTGTTAGTGAGTATTATGACATTAATTACCATCTTCACAAGCTGAGGCAATCCATTGTCCATCTGGGCTAAACTGAAGGCTGTTTACTGCAAGGCGATGACTGGAATAAGTTACAATGCAACCTCTTTTTCGTGTGTCCCACAATTTGATATTACTATCACATGAGCCTGTAGTCAAATAATCACCATATGGGTGAAAATCCATGCATTTAATAGCTCCTTTATGGCCAGTAAATGTCCTTAATAGTTTTGCTGCTTCCAAGTCCCATATTTTTAAGGCACCTGTTTGTGAACCAGCACAAACCAAATCTTCCGAATGGCCAAAACAAACACATTCTACTGGGGTAGTATGGCCACTCAAACTCTGAAAATATACATTTTATAAAGTTAGAAAAGTTAATTATCATTTTAATGTCCTGGTGATAGACATGTTAGTTAAAGTTGCAGCCTATATATGTCTCACAACTGAACACAAGCCTCCCCTCAGTTAGTCTCCATTGAGACCGGTAGCTGTAATGGAAATTTGATTGGAGGACATTATTATTTAGACAGTACCTCATTAGATTAAGGGCACAAACTGTAAACTTAAAAGTTTTCTAATTATAATTCTCTCTTGCTGCTTACTTGGAGTAGTTAATAAGAGTATTAATAATTTTAATAGTGTTATTTATTTACATAACATCGAAATATATTTAATGCTGTCAGTAAAGCAAAAAACTTGTGTGCTTGAGAATATTGAGTTTTTAGCGCTAATACGACTATTTTACTATGTATTATTATGTTTTAAAAAAAAAGCAAAACTTAATTAGTAAAATAAAGGCAGGTAAAGAATACAAATAACACTATTTAGTTTTTAAATGTATATAAATATTAAAAAAACTGTATAGTGTTATTTGTATTCTTTCAAAGGAATTAATATTTAATATACATTTAGTCCATGCCAGTAAAATGTAACGGCGATGTAACAATATCCACTACCCCATATAATCCAGTGGGTATTTTAAGAGACGACAGAGGGAAACAAGACAGGTGGGCAGCAGTGTCTTTCTAATAATGACTCCGCCAATCCGCTTCACAATTGTGGCAACTATGGCAAATATACCCCCCTTATGAGACATTCTAATGTGGGAGGCCTATGTTCAGCAGTGAATTTCAATAGGCTGTAATGGTAGCGGTAGTCCATAGATTGACCAGTACCAGACTTGAGCAGCTTTGATACTGTTATATATGTTTTAAAAACCATTATAAGGTTTACCAATTTTAGAAATTAAGCTGAGTTTATAAACCTACTTCTTACCTACTTCACTTTTCAAGTAAGACAAATAAAAATAAACAAATATTATGGGTATGTTCCAAAATAGAACCCAGTGTACTGTCCAATGCAAATGACATCATGAATCGACGCTATACTGGTAATTCGTTCCAAAACATAAGACAGTATATGATGTCATACATTTACACCATATTGGAAAATTGTTGGCGATTATTTTGTCATTTTGTGGTCCAAAAATCATTATTATGCTCCTAATGGAGATACCAGCAATTATTCTATAATTTTTTGTGTTTGAATAAATAAAAACAAATTCTGGCAAGCCTCATTCAGTGCACACACAATTAAAAATTGTTTTATTATGGCCAGATATCCATCACAATATGGCAGCGGCACACCAGTACAATATAGTGTCAATTGATGACATTATTTGTATTCGGCAGTATACTGAAAACATTTCAGAACATACCCTAAAGCTACTAGTGAATAATAATTATATCTACCAACATATTTAAATTGGAAATTATGAGATAATCACAAACGGAACCTCTTTCTAATACCCAACAGCACTTTAATCAAGCTCCATAACAAACAAAATCTTAATTTTCAATTTTACTGATTAACCTTTTTATTGTAAATTTTAATTATAGCAATTACTTGTGAACATTTTCAGAACCTATCAACTTGCACAGGTATAATGTAAAGACAAAAATATAATGGAAACAGGCAGTTATCCTTATTTTACCAATCTAAGCCAGTGCTTAACTACTATCCCACTTGATGGTAAGTGGTAATGTAGCCAAAGAGACAGAGATTCAATAATACATACTTAATACAAATGCAGTTTACAACTGGGATTAGAAAATTAAACTACGAATTCATCATTTTTATAATATACATAATATGTATAGTCAATTAAAGTTCCAAATCAAAACTTTCCTAATCAAATTTAAGTTAGTTTAAAGCTCTTATTAAACTCAATATCTATTCCCATTCGTAAATAAAATGTTATTAGAGCAGAACCAACAAAAAACTCTAAGGTCTTTTTATATAAGACAATATTCATTTTTAGAAATAGAGGAAATATTAGTTGCGGCTTTGTATATACATCAATTTGTTAACTATTCATCTCCGTAACAACTTACCATGAGACAACTTTGTCTACCAATCGCCCAGAGATTTACTTTCTTATCATCACCTCCAGTAGCTAACACTTGATTCGATTTGTGGCCCATTGCTAAACAATTTACATTTGCCTTGTGGGCGACAAACTCCTCTGTAAATTAAAGTTTTTTAGAATACCTATTTTCGTTATGCAGATAAATAACATGAAATATGAAATACTACATACGTAGTTTCCATGATCTTCGCAGGGAATCCATTCTCGTTATAACATTCCTTTAAAGGCAACTTCCAAAACTAATTGGACACAAAAGAACTTTTAAAATTGTAGGTCCGATGTTGTTGCTGTTGGTGTTAATATATATCAAAAAACGAAATTTAAAAATGCTCATATAGAAAGGACTTGATTTTTATTTACTTAAAACCCAAAAACCATTGTGATTAAAACACATTTATTATGTCAAAAAAATTATAGTGCTTTTGTTCCAAGAAACTGACTTTAATGTTATTCAATACTTTGTATGTGAAATGAAAAATTAAATATGAATATATGCAAATGAAATGAGATTTTATAGGAAAATGAGATTGAAATTGAAAAATTGAGATTGAGAAATTTTGAAGTTGTCATTTGTCAGTTGTCACTAGAGATGAAGCGTATATACTGGAACAGATCCAGGGACTAAGTATTTAACGAGACTAGGTTGCACCTATTCCAACTTTTAAAATACTTGAACTTGATCCATCTAGTCTCACTGTGCCTACGCGTCGTACTCGTATTTGGTTGCCGTAGACTGTAGTTACTAGGCGCTCAACTCGGGTCGTCTTTGTCTAAATCATTAGTTTGTCAGTCATTTGAATTTGAACCAAATTTTAATGATAAAGGTAACGTGACGCGCACTCGTGTTTTTTGTGTAATAATATATTCTGTCCTTTTTTAACTAGACTATTCCGTAGTCTTTCTATCTTTGTCTGTCAATACTCGAGACTGGAGACTAGTCGGGACTCGGACTAGTTCAACCAAATACTAGTACGAGACTAGTCGGGACTCGGACTAGTTCAACCAAATACTTATACAAGAGTACAAGGCAGCCGAGTGTCTATTGTCAAATACGGTACGGACTCATGCGAATGTGATCTCGGTGGACGCTGTTTTCATGTTTCCATGACTACATAACATAGTATTGGAAGCGTAAACAATTTACGTTTCGATGATTATGTAATATATTTTGATGAATATACATTAAATAATTAATATAAGTAAATGTGTCATGCATGCTTTTAGTAGTATAAAAATGCGTTCATTTACCCACATTTACTAATCTATATATTTTATAATCGTTCGTAAGGAGTGAACTTCAGTCGTGCGCCGGAACTGACAAACTCACTTTTTACTTTTCATATCAATTCTTTTTGTAATGTTATTTATAAGAATTATGCAAACAATATTCTAAAAAAAATATTATAATTAGGCTCGTTACTATTAAGATTATATGAGAGATAAATGAAAATAATCCACTTTAAATTCTCCCTTCCGTCATTAGTATGAGCTGCATCAACCAATTATAGAATTATAGCAATAGTAAAAAAACATAGCAGCTTAAAATCAAGACATACAAAATCAATAGGTGAGTACTCCCATTCTAGAGTTTTTCAAATAAATCAAAGATAAACATCTTTTAAAACAAATTTTACAAAATATGAAGTACTACTAAGTAGCATTTGAAGTAATTGGAAGTAAATGATCTTAATTTATTTCTCATATAACCTTAATTCTCGTAATTTAGTTACGAGAATAATTATAATAATTTTGTAAAGTATGAAGGGAAGATGTATGAATTCATTATTGCACACGTTTCAGCAGTACGCACGTAAAATATGGTACTTGAAACTATAGCGTATCCTATTCCTATTCCAACAATACTAAACTTTATGTGTACTTGATACTTTATGGACTAGGTGGAACAGGTATTTGGATCGAGTATTTATACGGAATTGGACTAGGTGCACCTAGTACGAAATTTACCTAGTACGACTCATCTCTAGTTGTCACTAGTTGTTGTTGTTTTTATTATTCGCTCGAGCGAACAGGCAAAAGAACTAAGCCATACAGCCTTGTCTTTTTTTATTTGAAAATATAGAATTTTGAAGTGTAAATGCCGGAAACAATCTTTCGTCTTATTTTTCTTCTTTCCATCTCTTTAAAAACCATAAAGGCCGAAGCTAAGTCTTATTTTCTTTAATTCTTCATATTTTCAAAAACCACAAAGGCTAAAGCCAAGTCTTCTTTATATTATAATGTTTATAAGTTTCAATCCATATAGATTTATTAGTCCAGTTTCAAGGTTCCCGCATTTTTTTTCTTTTCTTCACAATATGCTGATGCGTCACATTGCGAAGCCCTTGGGAGATTTTGACGACAGCTTGCCAGGTGCCTAAGCGATCAAAATAACTTGAGGTTTATATCGATATCAAAGCACGTGTTTCGTCGTTTTCTCTGATTGTTCACACGCGCGGACGGACACTCAATCCACAAAATCCTATCACTTTTACGAATCAAAATCCAAGCGACAAAAAAAGTAGCAACAATCCGTCTACGGTCAATTTCGTGCCAAAACTCCCCATTTGTCACTATTTTTTTTTCTTTTTTTTTTTTTTTTTTTGCGCCCGAAGCAAATATGGGCAACCCTCCGGAAAGCGGGGGAGGGAGGTTGGGAATGCTCATAGCATACCACGCAGCCGGCTGCGTGGTTATGTGGTGACTTTTACCCACTAAACCCAACCTTTTTAGGAATTGGCTTAACGATCTGACTAGAGATCTCTAAGCCGTATACGAACGCGACCCTCCTTGGCAGAAAGGAGGGCGCAAGCGGCGAAAAGCCGCTTAGAAGAGTGCCTAACTAAGGCAGATTAAGGGATGTGTTATGTAGGCTCGGCCTGAGCCGCCAGGAGGCAGTTCAGGTCAGCCGAAAGCTTGTTGGGTGGGTCCGAGAGAGAGTTTCTCGGTCTGCGCACACTATAGCGAGTGTGGATAGGGGCTGCATAGGCAGCTGTCTCACGAATGAGATGATTTGGGTGGGACTCTGAGGCTTTGAAAAATCTCTCAGAGAGTGATTTGAGGAACTGCTGGATTGTTGGGAGCTCTAAGTCTCGATGTAGGTCGGCATTACGGACATAATAGGGCGAGTTAGTGGCCCTACGACAGAATAGATTTTGAACTATTTGAAGTTCATTGATAGCTTTGGGTTTAGCATGTGCAAAAATGGGGGCCGCGTAGGTCATGACAGGTCGTATGCAGACCTTATATAGGGTTCGCTTGTTGCGGAGGGACATTTTACTGTGTCTGCCCAACATGCTGTTGAGCCTACCCATGTAAAAACGTGCGGTGCGAGTAACCTTCTTGATGTGGGGCTCGAAAGTGAGCCTTGCATCAAGGGTGACGCCTAGGTATTTGGCTTTAGTTTGCCATGGGACAGGGGTTCCTAACATCCTGATTGGCGGAGTGGTGGTGAGACGACGTCGTTTATATTCGAAGCAAACGGCGGAGCTTTTCTCCGGGTTTACGTCGATACGCCATTTTTGAAACCAAGCTCCTAAGTCGCTTACTGACTTTTGGATCTTGTTCCGAATCTGTGGTAGTGAGTTGCCTTTGGAGTATTTGTCACTAGCTTCTAGCTTGCTATATATATACATAGAGATATAATACCTATGGAGGCGGCGTAATTCTACTATAGAAATAATAGTTATACAAATATGGATGTTTGTCCTTGTGCAATTTATGTTTGTAAACTGCCCCCACGATACAAGAGAAAATCTTAGTGTAGGGGTAACTTTTTTAAAAAAAAAATCTATAATATCGACACACACTTGTCAAAAATACTTTTGTTTCTTTTTAACAAAGCAGTAGTATCATTAGAAAAGGGAGACAACAACTGTTTGTCAATTGCTTATTTTGACAACACTTTCGTGTGACGTCATTAGCTCATCCATGCGTGACTGCGTCGCCATGTTAAGCGCTGAGTTTTGTGGTAGATCTGCTGTCAAACTGTTGAATGCTAAAAGTTTTTTTTTGTTGTGTAGTGCAGTGCCTTCATCTTATCTTATAGTAGATGTTTTTCTTCTATTTATATTTTATTATGTCAAATAAGTGTCTTACAGTTTATTTCAAGTGTTATGGTTGGGATGTATTGTTTAATTATTACTTTATGTGAGATGCATAATTTTGTAATTTATTTAGCCAATAAAAAACTGCTAAGAAGTTTTGTAATTATTAAAAATCACAGTATATGTATGTTTATCGCTACTAGTTGGGGGAGAAAAAACAAAAACTTTCAGGAGTGGTCTTCAGTATGCCTCTATTAGAGTCGTTATTTAATATTAAAAAACCTTATCAATTGCTGTATTAGAATATATTGCGGGATTTATGGCAGAAAAAGGTTCAGATACCACGCAAGAAGAAGCAGTGAAAACTTTTAGAAAGTCAGTAGTCTTATAGAAATTATATTAAAAAATAATTTTGTTCAGAAGTGAACAAATAGTAATAATAATATTTTATATAAAAATCTATCATGATCATGAAACAGTGGATGAAATATGATATCCAGGATGTTATCCTGCATATCATATTTCGTTATCATGCCAGATTTTCGAATTTTTCGAAATTTGATAATATTTTTCATTTAAAATCCGAATGAATAAATAAAATATGATATACAACTTGCTTGTATAACTTACTATTTGTGATGAATTATGTGCAGAAAATTTAATAATAAATAAGTATTGATTTTTAAAACAGTTTATTTCATTTTTACTCAACTAATCATTATTATTTTACATTAATAATATGGGATCTGGGATCACCATCCCAGTAATACTTTAAACACAAAAGAAGGATTTAATTTCTATCTACACAAAAGCCATAAATCAGTCAGTCACATTCACATTCGCCAGATTAGTTATTTGACGATTGAAAATTCAGCCTTGTGTCTATGTAAATACCTACGGAATAAAGTAAAGTAAGCAACAAATCCAATTATATAAAATAAGAAAAAAATTCATATTAGTTAAAATATAGATATCAGCTGCGCATATTGCGGAGTTACAACCCTATAAAAGGCGGCCATTTTATGCGCCAGATTTTTGTAGGTAGTCACGCTAATTTTGTAGGTATGCCCAGTCCATATACGCCTAAGTCAGTGCATATATATTTATCTATGTTTGTCATTGTCACTGTCAGTAGTGTGACCAGATTAAATTTTTTACA